TCGTGCTAATTTAATTCTGACAACGAAAAAAAAAGAAGAAAAAAAAAGGTGTCATCATTAAACCATATGTTCATGTGTCACATATGTGTAAAGAGAAAAAAAAAAGAAACGACGAAGAATTCGTCTGCAGGCTACGTTCATCATCATGATCATCAAATAAGTGTGTCTGTGTATTTCGTCACACTTTCGCTTGAATACTTGATTGTAGAAAAAGAAAAGAACAATCTGTAGATTACCCCTGATAGATGATTAAGCGTCGGCCGTTTTGTATCAAAGTATGCGCTTTTCTTTTGATCGTTCTAACTTCTAACATTGTCGCTTCCTTTCATCTTGTCAACATGAATCAGATTCAATTAGATTACACTATGATGCCGCCGCAGCCGCCGCCGCTACCGACATAGAAAAAAGAAACAGAGACATATACATATCTCTTATTTGTGAGTACGTGTATATTTATTTCAAGAATGACATTACTACTCATGCCCAATGCGTATTACTTGTAAGTATTATACAACATAACTTAAAACTATAATTATAAGTGTTAGAATATAGTTAGATGTTATGAAGATAATAGAGGACGTATTTTTATGTACGAATATTTTTGTAGACAAAATTCTTCAATAGATTCTTCTCGATTCTAGAATGAATTTTGATCAATTGAAATAGGATCCATGTTTTCTGTCCGAAATGAACCTGATGTTTTCACACTAGCATTAACAAAGACCACAATTTCTTATGAAATCTGTGGTTTTATAATTCGAATATTTTGATACTATTCGATAGTTCACATCGTGCTGCTCATACTCTCATAGAACGTGCAGTGTTTTATCCAGCGTAGAATCGAGAGAGGGATGTCCCTCCGAAAATAAAGTTAGGTCTTTCGAAGTTAGAATTCATCCCTTTGCAAGAAAAAAAAAGTTTGAAATTAATTTTTGTTAATTTGAAAAAATTTTCGTCTTTTTTTAGTTCATTAGAAGGTTCAACACTAATTGCTGACAATGATATTGGATTGAATAGTTCAAAACAATCAGTAAGTTTTAATATATATAGAATATAGGCAATTATCATGCATATGCTATTTTCAGCGTCCTACAAAATTAATAAAACTAGAAAAAACTCAATGTAATCTTGCTCAACAAAATCCAGCAGCTTTTTTTGAAGAAATTAAAACTCGTTTATTAGCATATCAAACTGAAGATCATAATCAAATAAAATATCGAATGATCGATGATGATTCATTAGCTGTTCTTGATTTACAAATAGCAAAAACAATTGATGATGCTGATAATTGTCTATATGAAAGCTCAATAACTCATTTTACAAGATATGATTCAGGTGTCGGAACAGATTCATCAGAAAAGTTAGTTAAAATGAAATAAAAAAAAACTATATATATTAACACGAAATTTTTTTTTTTCAGAAATTATGAAACATTTTGTACGAAAAAACAATATGCATTAATTGATGTTATATGGTATCCATCACTCGATAGTAACAATGCTCTTTTATCAACAATTCCTCGTATTCATAATGAATTAACATTTAAAGAATTTCGACAATTATTTAAAAAACAAACAGCATATAGGTATAAATTTAAAGAGATCTTTATGTTAAATTATTTTATTTATTATTTAGATATTTCTTTAAAACAATATGTACACCTGATATTAATAAAGAGCAGTATGTATTTCGAGAATTAACAATGGATGATGAATTAGTACCATTTTATGATGGAAAAATTTTTGTACAATTAGATCGAATCTATTGAACGATTTTTGTCAAATTTCTTATTTTCTCTTTATGATATTTGTGTTTTCTAATATAGTACTGTCTTCTTCTTTTTTTGTTGATGTTGTTTTGTGTTTACAAAAAAGAAAACAAGAATTTGATTAAGGTATATGAACTTATTTATTGCAATAACACTCATTTATTGAAAATGACGAAACTTGAACATTTCTTAAAGATTTCAATAGAAATAGCAAAATAGTCATAGAAGAATATGCGTAAATAATCATTGCTCGGTTTAGTACGCAAATAAAAATGATGGTAAAGATTACAGCCACACCTATGCACATTCGTTGATCTTTTAATAGACGTCATATTAAACCTCATTTTGTGATGTGACAGGTATTCAAAAAAGTTTTGTGTTGAAACCTTTGTATCAGGTTGACTTTCTGGCCTGAGCTACAGCTAGTCAAAGTTGTAAGAAGATATCAGACTACTGAATCTGTCACTAGGCAGTATCCCATACTGCAAGGTAACTGAAAGGTACGGTGCACGTTGTTCATTTTTTCTGTGACTAACTATCGTCGATACTCATCATTCCAGTTCTCTTTCGTATGATCATTTTTCATCTCTATCATAAAATTTAGCTGTTTCAAAAGAAGAATGTTTTTCTTGAATAGCTCACATCATGGAAGTTAGAGTTTTTCATAAGGAATAATTTTGATATCGGCAAGAAAGAGAGCATCTGTGTTTTGAATGTATTAAAAAATCAGATGCGTTCATCATATGTGTTAAACTTCAAAGTTGAACTAAATGAAAGTTTCATATGTCTCTTTGAGTCTATCATGACTAGAGATAGAAAATTATCTACTGAGTTTGCTTTTTCCTTCGATGAGAAATTTTCATATGTTTGAAGGATGTTCCCAATCTTCGAAGATGTTTAAAAATTTTTGGATCATTTCTCAAAAATTTTCTTGAACTCGACATTATCAATAGCTATGTATTAAATTAGTAGGAATATATTTAACCAGAAGAGAAAACAAAACCATTTATGCTAAAACGTTCGTAGACTACTATAAGCATTGTAATCGTAATTTTTGTAGTTCATAGATGAAACCTAGTTCATTTTTCAATATCATACAAGTTTATATAACTTGTGAAGTTTTTAAAGCTTGACAGACCTAAAATTCGATTTTTTTCACGTCATTAATTTTTCTTAGAATATTCTTTAACTTAATTTATTGAGAATAAGAGATGATAAGATCAAATTTAACAGGTATAAAAGGTGACGTTTAGATAACAGAGAATGATGGATACGTTTCTTTTAAAAAAACACAAAGTGGTCTTCAGACATTACTGCTATTTAAAAGTGTTTGATGGTTTTCGAAAGAAGAAATGTCATAATGAGAAGACCCGTTGTCGCCAAAGGGGTGTAGTTATGGGTGTGAATGAGTGTGTTGATGTGGGTGGGTATGGATGCGATTGGATATGGAGTTTGATATGCTATGGAACCTTATCCGATCGATAGCCCACACATGCGCACCCACATCCTCATAATAAGGACTCAGTATTTCATCATTTTTCTCAGATGTTTATAAGAAATTACGGATGAATACAGCTTTTTATAGGACCTGTTCTATAACAGAAGTCTAATATTTGCAGTCAATAGAAGTTCGAACTGCGCGATGCTCAAAACCTAGTGCTCGAGGAATTTCACTCTCAACTGGCCGAGATGTAGTGATGTTACATTCGAATTATGTTAAGCTGTCACGAAAACGCTTTAATTTGAATAATAGAGACTGCATTGACAGTACTACAAAGTGAGTCTTCTTCTTGCTTAATGGTCTGCAATAGATCTATCTCAAAAGATCTACGATAATGGAACCTCGATACTGAATGCCGAGAGCTTTTTCACTGACAGCCAGAACAGGAGTAAGGGTGTAAGCTGGTAAAAGAGGCATATTCTTAATATCTCGCCAACTACGCACATCCGTTTTTGCAACAAAAGTCTTCTCACTAATGTCGACATTTTGATGTCGCAGAAACGCAGTGCTTTTTATCGCCACTGTTTTATTACGAGAGCAGTTGCGAGCACTTTAGTTTTCTCTTTTCAAGATATCGAAGAAAAATGCAAATAGAAGCTTTTGCATTAATTCCTGAGTGAAAAAAATGTGCTTGTTGCTTACTCTACAAAGGAATGTACGCGCGTAAAGTAAAAACACTATTGTTGTGTCTTCTGCTCGCTATTCACTGGTAAGAAGCAGTTTCAACTACGAACAAAACGGATCGCATTTCTTCTATTCAAACTGACAGAGTACTTCACAAAATTCCTAAAACTAGGACAGGTTATATGAGTGTGAGTGCGGATATAGACGTACATTTATAACCGCACCTGCACTCGAAAACTGAATGTTTTAATCAAATAAAAAAAAGGTTCTCAATTATATTGCTTTTATTGTCCTTTTCTCATTGAAACTAACAGAACACAAACTGAATTCGTGAAATACACTCATCGTCATTAGCATGATACCAGTACAAATCTGAAAAATAAAATTCGACATATTCTCTGTCAAAATTTACTTCATAAGAGATATAAGGATACTTAGTGTGAAGTATTACTAAATCTGAGTGGAAGAACAAACTTTTTTTGTGGAAAAATCGTAGTGAAATCAATAAAAGACGAGAAATTCAAAGTTCAAATTGATCATTTAGTAACACAAGACATGTATAAAGCCCTTTTTTAAACTGAGAATGCAGGTTGTTGTGCTAAATTCCATTGAATTTATTTTTTGCTTTTGACTCAATAACATGCACTTCGCTTCTATGTAATTGAGTACGGTTTAATCGTCATAAGAGGTGCGCTTTGCTGAAATCAGGAACTATAATTGATCCCATTGGTTCCAAGTAGTTCTTAACAAAACATGGTTGCTAAAAGTTTTCCAAAGGTAGATGCTCTATAAGTCGGCTGAACTGTCCTTCAACTGCAGAAGCGTGTGAGCTACCGAATTTTCGTAATCTGGATGTGGGTGCCATAATTCAACTCATCTACCCCCACACATCCACAATCACACCCACACCCACCCACACTCACACCCTTTTAATATTTTTCAAACGTACATTAGATCAAATAAAGCAACATAATAATAGTTGATTATGACCACGAGACAAAAAAGATCGACGTTGACGAAAATATTACCAGCATAAAATTTATCATTTAGTACTTTGCAGATATTCACGATTTTAATAATTCGCGAAAATTTTTCTTTCTGCTGCACATGGCCGCAGGAGCTGGAGCAGAAGCAACAGCACACGGTAAATTACAAATTGAAGACATTGACCAGGCACCGCTGGAATTTCTTGCATCTATTAGCGGCTATGGCAAAGAGCCTCTTGTTTCACTGGAACAAGCAGTTAAACCACTTGTTCCGATCCTATTAGAAGTTCAAAGCTACGCATATGTTGCCAAACAACGATGTAAGAATCCTGCCGATGGATTGACAGAAGATGAATCCGCTTCTATTATGCTATACACAATGGGATGGGAGCCACTCGATCAATGCCTATATTTCGTTTTGAATGAAACATTACGTGCAGAGGATCGACAACAGAAACTCAAACCGTGGTATTTTTATTTAAGACTTTTCCTCAATGCTCTCTTTCGTCTTCCACCAATTCGTACAACTGCATACAGAGGAGTTAAATTAGACCTGAGCAAGCGCTACGTTGAAGGAGCAACAATCGTGTGGTGGGGCTTCTCGTCATGCACAACGGATATTAATGTTCTACAATCAGAACAATTTTTGGGGACGGTAGGTGACAGAACGATGTTTTCCTTACAATGTCAATCAGCTAGAGATATTCGCAAGCATTCATATTATCCACCTGACGATGAATTACTTCTTATGGCTGCTACTCAATTCAAAGTAACGAGCTGTCTTGACCAAGGAAACCTTCACATTGTTCTACTGGAAGAAACTCGTCCTCCATTTCCGCTCTTACAACCGGTACCAACTGTTGTTCCACAATCGATCACTCCAATCCTACCAGGTGAGTGAAAATAAAAAAAAAAAGAATATTCCATTTGATAAACAACATCCTTACTTTTGATACTGCGAGGAGAATCAGGAATTATATCTTTCTATCAATGTACGTCTCATGAAATATGAACACACAGATACGACTTGCTATCCATCCAAACAAATGGTTAAAAACTAAATTAAAATAGACTCATTTTGAAAGATCAGAAAAAACTGATTATGTAAGTCGGTTTTCGATTAAGACCAATGGAATCTTCTGTTTTGAAAAAAACGATTTCACCGAACAATGTCGATTTTAGCTTGCCCAATCTAAATAAGCAATGGACGTCATTATCAGTTTCAATCATTTTTTACTTCATCTACTTAAATCTGTTGTCTCTCGTTAAAAGCTAAATAAATGATTCAAGTTAATTTGTTTTCCACATCGATGAAAACATTTGTAAAGATTTTTGTCTGTTATGATTGACCTACAGACATGACGATCACTCGAAATGTTTTCTTTGGAGTATGCTTCTCTTTGCTGTTCTAAAACTTTCAATTTTTTCGTTTTTCATTTTTTTAATGCTTGATAGATAGATTTAGTGGTGCTCCGAACAGGATATGGGCACGGGTGTGGATCTTATCTTCATCCAGGCCCAGGCTCACACTTTCTCTTAGACTATTTTTGTTTCTCAAAATCGCCTAAAAGAACATGACAATCATTTGAAATGTTTCCTTCAGGATATATTTTCCTTTCCTATTCTTAAATTTTTAGTTTTTTCGCTTCTAATTTTTCATGTTTGATAGCTAGATGTAGTAGTAGTAGTAGCAATCCATCAAGGTTAGAGAAGCATGTAGGAGACGCTTTCCGAACTCGAGGAAGAAATGACCCAACCCAAACGTGTTTCGACGCCGTCCAACTTGTATTGGTGTAATGCAAATCATTTTTCTATAGTTAGAAATCTACTTCAAATGCTTTTGTTTTTGACCAACATCCACACAAAAGTTACACTTTTAGATAAGCCATGAAATTCATATGAAACCCAAAGTTACTTTCTGCGTAGCTCACAATAGTGTAGCTAGGTGTAGCTGTAGTCTTTCCTTCATCCTCACACATACAAGAGGGCGTTCTGGTGAAGAGAACGAATGTGGACTTCGAAATATGACTATGAATCGCGAAGAAAATGAAGAATCAGAGGAGGAAATCGCTAGGGTAACCAACAGACTAAAAAGCAATAAGCCAGCTACCGCACTAGGTATAGTCAGTCAACTTAGTTACTGACTGATCGCAACACAAAGATGGTTGGAGAATCAAGAAGGTCGCCTAGACTAGTGATGAATGCCAACAATATTCCAAATGAATGGATAGACGTAGACGCATTGGATCGGACCTATTCTTGCTTTCTAAAATAATTTCTGCATTTTCAATACCTCTTCTTTGCTCAATGGATGATCATCTGCGACTTCCACATTTTTGCCTCATAAGAAATTGCACTGGAAAGCTTTCATAAAAGATTTTGATTCTTTGCAAGATCCGCACTACGTTAGAATCAAATGCACCGATGTTCTACTATCGAGAAGGTTCATTTTTCAAAATCAGAATGTTTCCATATAGAATGTGGAATAAAGAATGCCATACAGCATTCGTTTACAAAAGACTTATTTTTCCAAAGTTACTCTAAAAGTCTATACTCTTTGATAGGTTCATTATCTGATCCATCAAAGACCAGTCCTTTCTATGATGCATGCCGAGACAATAATATCAGTTTGGTTGAACATTATTTGCAAAATATGACAGTGGATGAAGTTAATCGAATGGAACCAAATGGCTCTAGTGCACTTCATGTAGCTGCATATCGGGGACATGAGAAGATTGTTGAACTGTTATTGCAGAAAGGTGCTAGTTATTCAGCAGTAAATAAATATAACTGTACTCCACTTGACGAAGCTAAAACCGATAAAATAAGACAGTTAATTCGTCGTCGCATGAATCAGAAACGTTTCGTCAGTGACTCCATCGAATGGATTCTTCAAACAGATAATGCCGATTACCAAGCACATGAATATTTTAATAAATTGGAATTATATGGCCAAGATCGACACTATTATAAGTTGATTGCTTATATAAGGAAAAATTATCTCGAAAACGAATTACAAGTTATAGATGGTATCAATACAATAAAAGAATACTTTGACAAAGCAATCAATGAGAAAGATCCAACTTATTTATTAACAGCGTATACAGCTGAAACAGATTTTTATACTACGCTAAATGTCGATTTAGCAAAATTGGAATCATTGGAATCATTGCTTGTCATCCAAAATTCGAGACATTATCATATATTGGAAAAGTGTTTCGTGGTATGATGATTACTGCTAATGATGTAAAAAAATACAAGGTTGGTTCACGCATTTTAACTAAAACATTTTCGTCGACATCAAAAGAAAGGAAACTAGCATCAACTTTTCATAAAAAAAACGCTGATACAGATGATCGATTAAGTACTCTATGCATCTATGAAATACGTAATCAAAGGACTGCATTAGACATTCAACACATATCATTATTTCAATATGAAGAGGAAGTATTAATTCTACCATATTCAGCATTTAAAATAATCGATATCAAACAAAATGAAGACAGTTCACCTCAAGTTGAAATAAAACTGAAAGAATGTGAACCATGGTAGGACGCATTTAAAACTGACGCTTCGATTTTTCATCCATTATATTTATATATATACTATTTCTTATCACGTTTCATTGATTCATTAGTGAATAAATCTGTAGTACATGTAACAACGAAAGAAAGAGAGAATAGAAAACAGAAAGTATAGCACTCTTTGCTTTATATCTTATATCTTACATATTTTCAAAAGATAAATTCCATATATATTTTTTTAAATTGTAACATAATGTGTATCAGATTTTCTTCGGATATTTTATCTTAATAACTTTCGGCTTTTGATATTGCTTGCCTAAGGAAAACTGTGGCATTTGTCTTTATTTTAGGCATGTTGTTGAGTTGATGAATGTATTCTACAGGTCTATAAGATGGTACTCGTAGGGCTGCTCGTAAGATTTTACTTTCTGTCACTTGAAGTCATTCCCAAATTTTGTCGTTTGCTGTTAAACGGATATGTGATCCATACGTGATGATTGTTCTTATCAATGATTTGAATAAATTTAACATCATTTCGGTGTTTGGTTCTGAAGTAGAACAAGACAAAAAGAAGTAACGTGCATGAGGGTGTGCGTGTGAGATCTGAGTGGGAGGGGGAGGGGGGAGGGTGAGTCCACCTTGTCTTCAATTACACCTATACCCTTATACACATTTTTCCACATATTATTACAGAATTAAAGTAGAATAAAAAGTTTGAGTATTATTTTTTTAGGTAAAATCGGCATTTATGTTAAATTTTAGTATTATACAATGTCTATGATAGATACAAAATTAATACTGAATTCTATCGGATATGATGTTAAAGGTTATGATGTCTATGATTATGCTGTATATACACGTATATTGATCTATTTTTCTTGTTATTTGTTCGTTTGTAACATCTGTTATTTATCTTGGTAGAGGTTGAAGACAATCGTACAAGATTGAGAATTCTCGTAAATATGATAAAATAAAATAAATCATTTAAAATTACAATACATAGAATTTGTTTTCATTTTTTAATAAAAGATTTAGGTCTTTCATTTTAATAAGCGGTTTTGCTGGCCACGAATTAAAGAATCTTTCGAACAAGCTTTTTTTAAAAGACGAAGAAAGGAAACCTCAAAAATCGAGCTTTTTTTTACAGCCTAGCCCCAGGTGCACATTCTACAATGTAAAAGCCACCCGGACATCTTAGCTGATATTCTCATTTTGAAAACTTTGTCCACGTAGAGAGTACTTGTAACTCATGAATTGACTATAACTCGTGAATATCTTGAAGATTTGGAAGAGACATTTTATCGATAATCTATTCTAGTTAAGATTAACATTCTGTAAAGTCGTGATTGAAACTGGATGATAAATAAAAAAGCTTATTTCTGCACAGAGTGAGTTTAATTAATTGACTGAAAATAATTGGAGTCAAAACTGAACCTAGTCTGAGCGTTTGGACCTTTTGAAAATTTCATATCTAGAAGAGATTTAGTTTGAAGTTTCTGAAGCTTTTTTGTGTTAGTTAATCTGGTTGATTTTTCTATATGTACAAAGTTTCATATCAAAATTCAAAAATACATATAAAAATATAGTTGCGAACTTCGAAGTTACACGTATTCTCTATTGCTAACTTTTATAATTCTTCAATCGGCATACATGGAAATCATCACGAAGAAGACATGTTTATAAAACATTTTATCAATTGAAGTAATTGAAAGATCGACAAAATAGTAAATGTTGTTATATTTAGTATTTCTCATCTAGAGTCAAAGTATCATCCTGAAGTTTTGTAGTTGTTTAATAGTAAGTACAATAATCTGCTAAAATACAATCATTTGAATAAAAAACAAAATAGCATTAAAGATAATACATATTTTGAATAAAATTGGTGTTTCATTGACGTCAAAATAAATATATATGATTATATGCCAAGACCAATAGTATGTGAGAGGAATGAATAATAAATAGTCTACATATATTTAACTAATATGTGCATGCCTAAAAATACAGTTAGTATTATGGATATATTGCTAGTCATGCGTAATAGTTAATAAGTTCACTTATCATTTGTACTCAAAGTACATATGTTTAACATTTATCAATAATGAAAAGAGTTTTGCTTTCGAAAACAATAAGAAATAAATTCATTCATACTGACGAATCATTCAAAATTTCATTTTTATTATTTCAAACACAAAACAAGTATAATTATGTCTGTTCTCATTAATTTTTATACATACAAATATCGATATAAAAAAAAAGAAAAGAAAAGAAAAGAAAAAGAAACAACAAAAACTAATATGAACTAATCTATTTTTCATAACAACTGCTGAAAAAACATATGTGTTTACATTACATTTTCTTATCGAGATAAGATCAATATGATACTTTATTTTCTACGATCTAAAAATCGACCATATTGTATCTATATATTCAATATGTTTATAACAACAATAGTTAAAAAAAAAAATCAAGCACACACATATGTATATAGATATATTTTATGAATACATTAAGCTATGAAATAAGAATACTTTCAATATACTAATGAAAAGCAACTAGAATACATACAAATCTATCAAGGAGGCAATATAATCTTTAAATATTTTTTTTTAAATTTTGGATCTATCTACGAAGAATAATAGATATACAAATAGAAAAATCATTCGAAAAAGCAGCAACCAAAAAATAATGCTCACAACATATATATATATATATGAATTAGAAGCGGAAAAACAAAGAAAAGAACACGTGAACATTAGCAATTGATTATTATGAGTAAGAAATAAATGTGAATAAAAATAAAATATTTATTCACGTTTGTCGAGCATTAAGTCTTGGTGAAGGTAAATCACCAAATACTTCTGTACCATCTGTACACATTAATGACTGACTTAATTCACGAAAGGATTTACCAATACGTTCAAGATCATTACTATCATCGTTATTCTTAAATTCAAAAAAAAAAAAAAAATTCTTGTTTTGTTTTTTTCTTTTTTAAAGAAAATTAATTAAAAGAAAAACGAATTTACCTGTTGGGGAATTGTATAAGGACGAAATGCAATATCTTTTGGTAATGATGTAGAAAAATTCGGTAAACTTTCTTTACCAGAAAACCAACCTACATGACAAGAAAAAGGTTTAAAATAAACAAAAAAAAAATTATTAATTAAATATACCTGTATTATCAAACATTGGATCATCAATTGTGTCCTCGTCTAGATTATTAGCACGTTCGGAAAATGTCTAAAGAAAGAATAAATTGATAATAAAATACTTGAAAAATCATAATTTTTTACTCGTTCGATTGTTGATGATTGCCGACTAAAATCTGGTCCACTAGTATCAAATATATCCGAACCAAAACCTGATTCCATACTATCAAGAAAAATGATTTTAATTTATTCATATTAGTAAAAATTAAAAAAAAATAAACTATTAACCTATTTTCATTGATATAAGAATTTGATGGTTGTAATATTGGAGAGATTTTATTACTTGACATATATCGAGGTATTGTTCGCATGAAACTATAAAATTATCAAATATTTATTTTTCTGATTAAAAATAATATTCTAACTCTTATCTGTAACAAAAACTATTATCTTATTAAAATCTATCTTACCAAATATAAATTTGACATGATAAAAAAAAAAACATTTTTTAAAATATTCTTGTCACTTAAATTAAAATTTTATTAACATACATTATATAATTAAAACATTGAGTTCAAACTTTAATGAACATGTTTCATAAATTAAATAATTATTGAATTGAAAAAAAAAATCCTATCATAGTCTATTCGTTTGACATACTCAGCAAGTAGAATCCATCGAGTTTGGATCGGAAAATTTTAGATTCGTTGGACTTTAGTCATTTGAGAAATAGGCTTCCGGAATTTCACCGGATGTCACAAAACAATATTAATAGAGGATGTTTTTGATAGCGAGTTTGTATAGAAAGTTTCATGAATTGATTGATAGGGTGATCTACTTCCTGATGCCACAAAAGTAAAAAATGCTATTGTCAGAAAAAAAGAAGAGGAAAACTTTATCATTTTTTCTCTGTTTAGACTATTTTGATTGAGTATTTCAAAATTTTCCACGGAACTTCATTGTAATCAATAATATATATACAAGAATATTTAATAATAAAAATATATTTACCTTAAAAACGTATCTAATTCTTTATACATTGCTTCTGTTTTTATATCTAAAATTTGTTCTTGTTCATGTTGATACAGTCTAGAAAAACAAAAAAAAAAGAATATCAAAATTTTCTTAAAACTTATTTTTTTTTTTTAATTTCTATACCGAATTTTTTCTTCTGTTTCTCGATCGGCATCATCTATTGATTGACGATAAAGTTGTCGAACTAATTCACATTCACGTTGAAAAGTTTCATCTAAATTAATTAATTTTTTTTTTTTTTATATAATTTAAACCAAAAACAATAGAGAAGAATTAATTTACCTTGCGAACCTAAAAAACCTGTCATTGGTAAACTATTTATTCTAGTTGGTAGAATAATTTTAGTTATTTTTGAATAATTTGGATCAAGATATATGTTTTTAACTGTTTTATCATTCTAAAATAAAAATAAAAAAATATCATATACATTTATGTAATTGTATCTTTCTTAATATACATACAAGAAGATCTTTATTAATCAATATTTTATTGTTATCAATATATGTTACATGTGTATATTGATTACAAACTAAGCACCGGTTTAATTTCATATCACGTACATTTATTGATTGAAATAAACTTTGCCATGCAATATGTATTGTTAATTCCGATGATATATTGCATTGAAACCATTCATGAGGTAGATTAACAAATCTTATCATATCAGTAGTGAGAAAATCTATGAAAAAAAAAAATTTTGTTTCTCAAAAAAAAAATAAAATGTAATCAAATAAAATACATACGTGTCTTTGTTTCTTGATTATCATCTATTTCTAATACATCAATAGTTACATTAAGACATTGACAATAGAAATGCATGACTAGAAAAAAAAAAACTCGCACA